TGGATCGGTTGTGCCGTCATATTTTGAAATGTCAGGCATTTTGAACTTTTTAGGGATTGAAAGGGGAGCAGCACTCGGTTTCCAAGGTTGTTGTGAATATTTATCCGCATCTATTCCTTTGATTATTAGGGGAACTCCAGGGATTTGCTCGATGCGCTCGTTTTGTTCTTTGAGCTGTGTCTGCAATGTTAGTACCAAATTTTGTAAATAAGAATTATTTGTATTACCTGGATTCATTTTTCGTGGTTCAATGGGGGTTCCTTCGTTTGAATTAACAAGGCCAGAACGAGGATTCTCCAGCGTATTGTTATTAGGCGAAGGTGTGGACGGCGCAGCGGGTAACCGGCTAACTAGCGCTTGAAGAGCTTGGCTAACCCGTGCATCAATTATTCTTTGCAGAGCTTCTTCTGGTCCCTCAAATTGTTCTGATTGCTCTTGCTCATCAGCATGTGATTTAGGAGTGCTTTCATGAGATTGACGTGGTGAATTTTGAAGGGCAGGAACCGCGTTAAAGTTCTGCAAATCTCCTTGATCTTGATGCATTTGATTTTCACGGTTTCCCAAGGTGTTTTCACTGTTATTATTGTCGTGTGACATGATGATAACAACAGATAGAATGTAACTTAAAAAGAATAGATTATCAGATTCCCGGTAACGGAACCAATTTGTTTGACCAAAGAAATAATATTTTGGATAAAACTAGAATTTGAGATGAAAAATCGGGTTACTGATAATCAAGAGACCAAAAAAAATAATTATAGGCTTTCTGAGAATAATAATAAAGCAGTAAACAAATTTTTTATTTCAGTATGATGTCAATGATCGCCTTTTCCCAATACAACTTCCTCCTTTTATAGTTGATTCTAGGTAAAGGAATAAAACCTAAGCTTTAATGAGACAATTATGGACAACAAATGATATTAAATGAGCCGTTACACAATCATTCCTATTAAATAACAATTTTCTAACGTATCAGGTATTTAATACTGAATTTGGACTCCTTTTTGTCTTCAGATTCATGTCTTCAATGCCTTTCGACCCACTGGCTTTAAATGACTTTGAATTGGTACGAGACTCGTGTCTAAACTACTTCTCGTGCCTATTTCACTTCTTCTTCTCGTACCTGTCATTTCCCGTACCTTTTTCCCAATTGTTACGCTTTGACCACTTGTCCAGTCCACGTGTCACGCCACGTCATCTTCAATATAAATTCAACTTTTTCCCAATACAGAGACATTGTTGATCTTAGGTAAAATTTTATAGAGCAATAGAAGTATAAAACTATTGAAAGCTTAAAAGTACCATTGAACAAAGCTTAAATGTATTGTTAAACACTTGAACTAATAAAATCTTAAAAAAAGAAGGTGTGTAAGAATATCAAAGAGAAAGACAGAAAATATATAGAGAAGTTTGAAATATGAAGAGATTGGGGAAAAGAAAGATTGACTTGGAAAAATTAAAGAAGGTAGAGTAAATTTTTTACACATTATCTAACGAAGGAGTAAAAAGGAATTGTCAAATCAACTAAAATTGAAACGTTGGAAAAACTATTCATCTACCCATTTTTAAGTCAAGTCAAATTGTTGCTTTTTTTTATATACATAAACCTATTATTTATTAAAAACCTATTATTTATTAAAAAAATAAAATGGGGCCTTAATTTGGGGGCTTAAGGCACAAGTCTTGATAAGGTTAGAACCGGCCCTGATTGGCTGATTGGGACAGAAGGAATCTACTATTCTTATTATGAGACACATTCTTATTATGCAGCCCAACTACATAGCATAGGTAAAATAAACTTGGCACTAAGAATTACCTTGATGTTGCAATCAGCTCTTCGCACTACAATCTTCTACTGCTTTTTCGAATTGTCCTAGCTTGAATCGGCATGCTGCTCTGTTAAATAGCACAACAGAATTGTGTGGCTCTTGTTCTAGTCCTTCACTGTACACGGAACAAGCCTCTGAGAATTTATTTTCCTTGAAAAGCTCATTGCCCTTTAACCGAGCTGATGCCAACCCTTTAATTCTCCTTATTGTTGTGTTAATTACTTCATTGCTTTTATCCAATTTCACTGCTTCTTGAGCTGCAACCATGGCATCCTCAAACTTGCCTATAGTTGCATAGGCCTCAGCTCGAAAGATTAACAAATATGCTGTTTTTGCTGAACCGAAAAGGCTAGTACACAGCTCAGTTTGAAAATCAGGTCCATTCTCAATTGTCATGTATGCTTCCTCATGTCTATGTAACTTCAACAAGGCTTCAGCTCTCATGGCAAAGATCTTTGATTGTAATAAAGTAAAAGGAAAAAGTTAGAATCTTTAAACATCTAACTTTCTTTATTAGACATGTACAATAGGTATTAACCGGTTAGTTCAACCTGTGGAGCTGAATCTGCTCCTAAGGAGATTGAATTATGTGTTTCCTTAAGCAATGTGTTGTAATCTCTCAGCTTCTGTGCTTCTGTGCATTTTATGATTTGTCGCTTAATATCATGAGCCTCAGCAATGTCCTTCTTGTCAGCTTTCCGTCCTGATTCTTTATAATGATCTATTGCTTTCTCAGCATCTCCGAGTCTGTTGAAATGAATAATTTTTCGAGTACGTGAATGAAATTAAAAAAACACCATCTAAGAAAAATATCTATCTTCTCAAAATGTAGTACCTGAGGTATAGTCTAGCAAGACGAAAATGTGCATTGTGATAAGAAGGATCTAGCCCAATGGCCTCTCTGCATGCGAGCACTGCCTCAATTATGCGGCCTAAACTCATCAAAGCTGCACTTTTGTTGCTATAATAACAAGCATTTTTTGAATCAATTTCAATTGCTTGATTATATAAAGCCAATGCCTCCTCAAACTTTCCCTGTCTATACTGCTCATTACCTATGGACTTGAGTACATCAGGGTCTAGTTTGTTTGCAGAACCGCGAAACGTAGTCCCGGATTGATGGCTTCTTACACTAGGTTGCCTTACTATGTTTCCCATCAAGCCACTGCCTTTTTTCTGGCTAGTGTTTATGTTACTAGAGGGATTTTGGTTCCCCTGCAACTTCAAGTTTCCCAAGTGGCTTAATTTGCTAACATTGCCTGTTGAACTGCGATTCAACGTTCCATTTGTCCTTGATTTTCGATGGCTAAAGATTGTCATGCTCAAATCAGCTGAGGAAAAAGATGGTTCTCTTCTAAGCTTTTGTGTGTATGCAAAGTTCACAACTTGTGACATCCTGGTCACACTAGAAAAATTGGATGATGCTTTATGCGAGTTTCTCGTATCATCTGATGAAGATCTTCTAATATTATTCTGTTCACAAGAAGTCGAATCCCTCGAACTGTTTAAGGATGATTTTCTGAATGGTTTGTCACCTAGCTTAGTTGATTTCCTGGAGTCCAAACATGCCTTACCACAAGAGCTGCTTCGCCAGTTTCTTGAATTCTTGACAGCATTGGTGTCAATGGACTTGGTTGGAATTGGTGGTGCTGTTGATTTATTTGGCTTAGTATTTCTTGTGAAAAAAACACCCATCAGACCACAACCCAATTCATTTTCTACTGAACTATCTGCATTTTCTGACATGGTTGATTGACCACTTTTTCTAGTTTTTTCCATCTCCACAGGTTGTAATGGAAACTGATCACTGATCACTGATCACTGATCCCAACTAATAATCAAAAAGATGAAGAATGAAAATAGGAGACTTTATCCAAAGTGAAGTAGTGATGAATTTATAGAAAAGGGGTCAACTAGATTAAAATTAAATACTCGAACATAATCCTATCTAATAGACACGTGGCCCCAAAAAGGAAAATAAATCTTTCAAGATAAAGCTTGAATGTGAAGGGTTCAATAATGTGATAGGCCTGTTTCTTATAGAAGATGAGTGAATATTAATAAATAGATATACCCCATAAGGATCCTAGAGTGGATGTCAAGAAACCAACTTTATTTTATTTTGCCGCTAGAGGCCTGTGTAATAAAATTACAGGAAAGTATAACTGGCAAAGCTGGAAATTTTTTATTCTGGTTCTTTCCCATTTTGTTCTTCCAGCCGTTCTCTTTTAATTACCAAACAATCATGAGATGATATTCAATTCTATTTCAGATCAGCTTGTTGCTTTTTGGATATTCTACGTGCAAATTAAACCGGCTTCACCGTACGTAAAACATTATTTTGCTGTTTGACTAAGTAGTCAATTCAAAAATACTCTTAATAGATGATCTGATATTAGCCGTTTTGAGTTAAGCACATATGATCTTTCTATAAAAGCATCACATTGTTAACGTTTTCTTTATTGCTTCCAATATGAAACTTTTTTCAAACACCCAACAATCTTTCTCTTGCGCTAAGCGCTCATCATAAGGATAGTTGCCATCAATTTAACATCCAATATATATAAAAAAGCAAAGTGTTTCTCGAGTTAATAATACTCTATCAAGAAACAGAAAAAAGAACTAAAAATCTCAATCTGATTTGTCGGGCAGTACAACTAACTGATTAACTTCAAAAAATTTGTAAAACCCAAATAGTGATGTTTTTGTGCTCTTTTGGAAATGTAGTTATATGTGTCATTATCTTCACTTTCAGGCAACCAACCTAAATTCCAAAGAATCATTCAAAAAAACTAGGCCTGCATGCTTTAAGATATACTTTTCTGCTGCATGCATGGTCTTACAAATTAGTCGTTGGGTGCCGGCTTGCCAACACCTCTACAATCAATTATAGAACGGCAGGTCCGATCGAAGTGAATGAATCGGGTATATCAATATGAAGCCATGTGTTTCTCATTCTTGTAATATGGCCCGTGATTAACGGCAGATGTTGTATGTCTACGCCCATAATTTGAATGGACATCAAGCCGACCACAAAATAAGTAGGCGTTTGGATATAAATTTGATTGAAACTTGAAAAAATTGAAGTTATGCTGAAAAATAATTTTTGAAAATAAATTGTGTTTGTACATGCATTTTACTTGGAAAAAAAATTAAGATTTTGTGAGTGAAAGAAAAAATTTCACCCAAAAACTTACCAGATCAGTTTTTGGATTTTGAAAATCCTTTTTCAAAAACTTTTCAAAAATTAATCAAATTCCATGAACAAACAATATTTTTAAAATTTTATTTGAAATAAAGTAAAAAATAAATCTCTGTCTAGACGGGAGCTTAGCCTTTTGTAGGCGAAGCCTTCTAGCGTATAGGTGAAGCCTTTTGATTTCAATACAGGTACGGACTTTGAGAAGACTACCTTTATTTTTAACTGTTTGAAAAAAAAAAAAAAAAAAGCGAAATAGTAGTGACTAGTGAGGTAGCAAGTATAATTGAGTAATTTGTATTGCCTTTATATCTATTATCACAAAATAGTAATGGATAAGTAGAACACTTTACGTACTAAAATTTGTGAATCTATCTCTGAGAGGGTTACTTCATCTTATGAATTATATGCAATTCTAATTGCCGAATGACGACTAAGTGAAAAGCAATATTCAATGTGTCATTTACAGCAAAGACAGATAAGATAAGAGAGGTGTTTACTCTAAAAATTGGATAACAATTAAACTTATAATGTGGTTTTAAGGATATGTTATTTCACTTATAGTAATAAACAAACACAAAGATGAACAATGGGAATTGACAATAAAATAAAGCAAATCAGCATTTGGACAGAGCTCTCGAGCTCGGACACCCTCAAGCTAGTTATGCAAGAATAGTTAAAGTCACAATAAGCTGATGAACAAGGAAGTAAGCTGAGAACTATTATATTGCTTTGATATTCGTGAATGTAAGGTCTTTACAAATGATGGGGACTCCCCTTTATATACTAGAGGAATCCTAATTATGGTACAATTCTAATTATGGAAGTAAATTGCATGATTGATACAAATAACCGCCCTTGATTTGATCTGTTCCGGGATTTCAGTCGTGATCTTCGACCGGTTACGGATATCTCGCCTTTCCGTTATTGCACTTCACTCGAAGTCGGTCATACTTAGTCTCGATCGCTGCTGACCTCGATCTCGATGGACACCTCGATTCTTGAACATGACACCTCGTCTTCGTGCTCTGGCCCGATCCATTTCGAGGCCAACCCTCGACGTAATCCCCTGGTCTCGATTAAATAGCAAAATCGGGCAAGCCCGATTTTAACTGTATACAGATAGTCCCCTCGTTTCTTGGAGTGTAATGAGAAGAAACGAACTGAGCCTTCGATTTTATACTTCGACCAGTTATGATGTCACTCTTGTGACGTACAGAAACAACCGAAGCGTCGCATCGGTACGGTTCCCAAGATTATTAATTAGCGTCAGTTGATGGTCGGCCACAAGTGCCTTTGAACCGTCACTGTAAATCCTTAAATAGGTCTTCTTCTTACTTCTTTAAACTTTACTTTGAAATTTTCTTGTGCTAATCTTCAAAATCCTTCTGAGTTTTTCAAGTTTTTGTACAAATCTTCAAAGCTTTTTACATCTTGTTTAGCATTTCCGTTCTTGCACAATCTCTAGGCCTCATTACCAACCTTTCTTCAAAACTACAAATCTCATCTTCTTCTTTCTCTGAATTAATACCAAAATGGAAAAAACATAAAAACACGTTCCTCAAAAGGACAAAGCTTATTCATCGCGGCCAGACGGCGATAAAATGCCGGTGGAGCCACGCATCGCGGAATGTGTTCCTGGGGTGTGCGATCTCACTTCCGATTTCAAAGTTGAGAAACCCTCGTCAGTCCCTGGCCGATGTGATCCAATATCGAGATATATATGCTCGATAACTGAGGGTGACCTCAAGCAGGTGAAGAAAGATTGCCACTAGGAAGACAAAGAGGTGGTGATTCCGACCCCCAAGGAGGACATCACTACTTATGTGAAAGGGTTCTTAAGTGTCTACACTTACCCTTTCACGCTGGGCCCCGTCGATCCCGTTATCATCGACTTCTGCCGCCAATATCAAATAACCCTGGGCCAGATCCATCCTTCTTTCTGGCGTATTGTCATTTTGCTTCGATTCTTCGTGAGTAAGGTCAAAGGGATGACTTTTACCCTCGACTATCTCATTAGACTGTACAGCCCCCGTCTTTATCGAGGCGGATTAATAAAGCTTCAGTGTCAAGCCACAAGGTGTTGTTCTCGAGCATTGACGAGGACAAAGACCAAAATGGATGGGCCAGTTCGTCCGAGTGAGGACTTCCGACATAATTTCGGCCGAGAAGATGATATTCCCCGAAGAGTGGAACATGAAGCGTAAGTACAGATCCCGCTCTTGGCCTTCATTTACTGTTTTGTTCCTTTTACGTTTTCTCATCGATGTTCCTTTCTATGATGCAAAGGTCTCTTGGGCGCCTGGTGCTATTCCGAACCTTGAGGGCTGGGTTCGGAAACTGGCATCAACTTCTTCATATGCCGAGCGCTCGTGGCGTGATTTGGCAAGGGGCCGATGGGAGGCCAAAAATCATGGCAAGTTTCTTTTCACGTGTTTGACGCTCTTCTCTGAAATGTCTCTTTTTTACTTATACTTGATTTCCTTCATACAGGTCTCGGGGACAATGCCATCATGAGGCCCCCGTCTGGGGAAGAGGAGGAGACCCCGAAACCGGCCAAGGATAAGAAGAGGAAAAGGGTCTCGCCCTCCGACACTCCAAAGCCTAAGAAAAGCACGCCTCGCAGGTCGAAGAAAGATGCCGCCCTGTCGCGCCCCTTTTTTCCTTCGCGGAAAGGGTTTGTGACATTCGGTTGGGACAACTCTTTCCTTTCGGGGAAGGGGTTTTGCAAATTTGAAGAGTCGCCACCTAACGATTTTAAGGTGCGTTAGGGCACCTATAGGGTTCAACTACAACTACATTTTGATAACTAGAGATAGGGTAAGGGCTTGAAATTATCCCAAGGGGAAGGTGTTAGGCACCCCTCAGGAACCACTAGTGTGGTTCCCGGCCAGATAGTTCTTTGTGAATTTGTGCAATTAACAAGTAAACAAACAAGGCTCAAATAATAGGGGATTTTAAATATACAAACGTTTGTAAGTGATAAAATAAAACAAAGTTTTGAAAGAGTTATAACTAAACATGCTAACGAATATATGGGGGTCCTAGGTTTATTTGTAATATGGATCACATCAATGCAATACCCGGTAATCACTCCTCAAAAGAGGGGCTACACGTGGTATTAGCGCTCCGGTCATCATATTCATATCTACCCTTCCCGCCCCGTAAAGGTATTAAAGCGCGGATTGGTATCGACCTCTATTGCATGCTATTACCCGTCCCATTCCTATCAGTCCCGAAGGAATTTAGGACTACTACTCCTATAAGAGGGAGGATTTTAGGCTAACTCTTGGGTTCTAAAGGTAAAAAGACTAAGGCGACATTCAAAACACATAGGACTGCATATTAGGGGAAACATGTAAACAACTAAAAGGCTCATATATACCTCCTCAAGTAAAGCACATAAATAAAATGACTAAAAAGACATTTAGGGCCAGAATTCAAAGTACTAAGACAGGGGAGTTTTAGTTGTTGAAGCAGACCAATTTATTACATAACTCAGATAAGAAGTCCGAATCAGGCCTGCCTGTTGGTTGTAGCAGTTGCTAATTAAACAAAGGCGGATTCAATTTTATCGTTA